GTAAGCTTACCTCCGGACAACAGGCTGCTGCTGACTTTACTGTTTTGTAATATGTTCTGTAAGAAGCAAGGTGCTAATAAAAATTAAAATAGTTAGAGTACCAAAGAAAAAAACCCACTTCCTGCAAGGGCAGGAAATTGCACAAAACATACGGGTGGTGGCTGTTTGTTTTTTTTTTTTTAAATGAAAGCAGCAGAACACCATGGCCTGTGAATCATTCTTTTTATAACAGCAGTTGGCAAACCTTGATCAAGTCTTCAGCAACCTTCCCATGGACATGAGGTGGGGGGGGGGTGTCCCCGCTATTCTTGCAGTTTCAAAATCAAAAGTACATCAATAAAATTATTACTACACACTGACTTAAGCTACTGGGGGGGGGGAACCCCCACAAAAAAAACAAACCACAACCCAAACCAAACACCACACACTGTCCTCTTCTTGAGTACTCTGACCCCTGTGTATCCACAAAATGTGGGAGTGCCTAACACTGACAGATGCCAAAAGGTGGGGAAGGTGAACATATATGTAAGCACAGTAAATTCTTGGAAGTGATGCCCCATAAGCTATAGCCCAGCTGCCTGCTAGTGCTCAGTTTACAACACTATCTTCTCTAGACACTAGGGTTGTAAATACTTGCCTTAGTGAATGCAACAACACATTTCTCACTGCCAGTGTTGTCAACATAGGAACTGAAGTCTGCAGGGGGGTTGTAATGCTTCCTGAAATGCTGCAGTGCTCCCTCAGTGACTCCTATACTCTCAGTGCAAGTACCACTCCCAGTAGGAGCCACAGCACTATGGTCTTTCCAACAGCATCCTCCAGCAGTGTCCAACAAGTTGCCCGGCAGAGAATACAGATGCCACCTGTTTCACAGGATGTCCTGTCCCACCTCTGGGAGGAGAAACCCTGTAAATGCTCTAGGTTTACTAACCTGCATAAAGTCCCCGACCCAGAAAGGAAAAACATGAGAAAGTGCTGCTTTTGATTTATGCCTGAAGCCCACAGTCACAACTAATAAAAAGCGAGGTCATGTCCAGCAGAGGCACATCTACAGCACTTGCTACAAGTGGTGGAAGTTGCTGGGACGAGCACAGCATTAAGTCACCTTCAAGCACAGGTGGGAGACACCACAGAAGCACAACAGTTTGTATCAGTACACAGCCCTCCTCCACGTCCAGTCAGATATGTGTGTACATACACACCAGGCACGCAGCCTACCCTCTGCCAAAAAAAAAAAAATAATAATCAGTCCACCTGCTGTCTTGCTTTCTTTTCATGATCAACTGAAAACAGCCTAGATAAAAGTGCCACTTTTCAGAAGCTGCATCACCGCCAATGTCAACTTTGGCTGGCACAAAGAACCCTCAGCAGCACAGAAAGAAAATGCCCAGGGCTCTGTGAAAGGAGAACAAAGTGGTCTAGCAAGAACTAGCTGGTTCTAAGCCTTCCCAGCACCCACTGGTAAGCCACCCAACCTCAGACCACTGTGACTGTGGGGAGCTGTGGTTCAAATCAGCAGCAATCTCCAGCCACTTTCAGGAACACTCAACTCAACTAACTGCAAGGACAAGCTGAGTCCCAGGAATGTAGTCAGCCTCTTGGTAACACAAGCACAAAATTTGCTGCATGCCTCTCTTGCCCCTCTCAGCAGTCTGCTGCAATGGCCACTGAGAGAAACAAAGAACATGAATCCATCATTTAAAAAAAAAAAAAAAGGGTGACACACCTGCAACCTCAGCCATCTCCCAAGCTGGAATGAAGGCACCAAAGTAACCTGCTTCAGCACTAGATGGGGACAGACTCGGTCAGACTTCCTCCCATGCAGGGACATGGCAGAGAGGCAGCTGTAGTTAATAGCTTTGTCTCTGGGGCCAAGAGCAAGGAAGAAATCTCTGATAGCACAAACCAAAGCAAAATACAGTGCTAGAGGATGCTGACCAATTTCTGTGCACAATGAAAACAGCTGGCTGGGCTAAGGCAGCTCTCACAAAGGGAAAAAACATACTCATTTTGGCCATACAGCACTCTCTGGGCTATTCCGGAGTGTCTCCTTCCCCCACCTCACTCATGCATATGCAACTGCTAATTCAACTGCCTGTGATTCTGACCACCTTCAGCTGTGGCAGCAGAACTCAGTGAAGAGATGTTGCACACCTCTTTGAACGATTAAGGTGTTTCTCTTCCCCCCCACCCCCATTCTCCAGCCCCTTTTAAAGTAAACATGTATTAATGGGGAGGAGGGGGAAGATTTTGGAGAAGTACAAGGGACAAAATGGGAAACACAACCCTCACTGACTTTACTAGCATGCAATCTATGTAACATTAATATACAAAGCCTGTTTACCTTGGCCTGGTCTATGACCATTACATCGCATCATCCCCAAACAAGCCACAGAATTAAAATCTGTACAAAATAAAAATGCATAAAACTCAACAAATTTCTTTACATTAGTACTGCATAATAAAGCATAAAACCAGCAGGAGGTGACCCAAAAATTCCATCCACAGCAGTTCTTGCTATCAGCAGGGACCAAACTACCCCCGGCCCATCAGACCAAAGCCAGTTCTTTAAGGAGCTGTACGCATTTCACTTTCAAGGTTTTGCAGTTTCATCTTCTGTGCTGAGATCTGGCCAGAGTTCACCCCACTCTGCTCTCACAACACAGAAAACTTGCATGATGAACAACCCACTGAATGAAGGTTAAGGACATGGGTGTCTATCACACGCAGTGGAAGTACACACTATCCCCACCCACCTGTCAGAAGCATTCAAACGCATGCTCTTGCACAGACTGAGTCAAAGATGCATTTCACCAACACGTGACCTCCCAGCCGGAGCATGGGTGCACAGGGAGAGAGGTTCAGCTCTCATTTAGTAACTCACTACACTGCCATAACGATGCATTTGAGCACCGTGTGCGCAGCCTTTACCACAGATGTACCCAGGGCAAGAGAAAACAGGAAAATTCAATCCTAAGAAAACATAGCCACGCTGTGAGCACCACAGGTTTGTCCAATACTGCTGTTCAATCACCTGGGCCACTAGCTGGGCTGCAAGCACCACCTCCCTGTGTAGACCTGCACTATCATACTAGTGATTGCACAACCAGCATTTCTAGGCTTGCTCCCAGAGAAATGATGGGCTGAGGGAACTGAACATAGATGTTCTGGTTAGTCTTGCTGCGAGACAAAAGTTTTCACAGAGGAAGGTAGAAGGGTATCTGTTCTGGCTAACACTCATCCGAAACAATAATACTGTCAACTTCCAGAAGGAAGACAACAGTGTCTTGGCTACACGGCTGTGGACTGAGCAGGGGAGAAAGTAACTTCTGTCTTTCTAGTATCTTCAAAGTTGTACCTCCTGTAGGCTTCAACCAAACTAGTTCCTTACACACTGTCACAGGAGTTAATGCACACACTCCTCTGCAAGCTCACCGCAGGTGATCACATTCATCCATATCCCACAAACATACCTCACCTGTTTGTTTCCTCCTTCTCCCGCCTTGAGCAGCTATGGCACCTCCCTGTACCTCCATCCTGATATTGCACTAATTGCCAAGCAAGGGGATTGGGTCAATTACCTGCATCGTTGCCAATATCATCACAAATCCAGCCCTAACAGCGCTCTCCTGTGCACCGCTCTGTTTTACACACAGGCCTCAGAAGACAGCTGCAGCATTGTCTCGCTTTTTGAGAAGCTACTGTTGGTACCAGCTGGGACCTGGCCAGGCAACAGTCAAAAGTTGTCTGGGAAGATGCCTTGGCCCAGGAGGCTGTCATGACAGTGGTCAGCTCAATTTGCAGGCTAACAGGACCACAACAGGAGGTTTAATCAGTTCATTCTGTTAATGCATGACATTTACCCAAAGATAACATTTAGTCCATCCTAAGGGCAGACTAGTATAGCCATCACTTTATGCTGATCTGCTAGACAGAATCACTGAGCAGCATTTTTAACTGAGATTAGATCAAAAAGCAAACTATCAACACAAGGGGCTACAGAGCCTTCACTTAGTATTACTCCACCCCAGATCCACCAGTACAGCTCAAAATATCAATTTCTTTATAATAAACAATGGAGAGGGCTGGGGGAAGAGCTAGGACTACTACTAGTTACTGCTTGGATTTCCATGGGAAACCAGTACACACAACAGCCCTTTTTACTTCCACTGAAGAGATTTTGGCAACAGACATGAAGACGACAATTGCCGTTTGTCCTGCCTCTGCACAGGGCTCTCACAGTACATATGCAAATCTAGTCATCAAGTATAAAATAGCCAATTTACAATACCTGATTGGATTTGTAAGATTATATTGTGCATAAGACTAAAATTGGGAGTAAGTTTCTCTAGTGCAAGCAGGCGTGAGTAGATTTGAACTTTAGATCACAGCCCCTTGAGTTTATCCTCAGACCCCAGGAGGACCTGTAAACTTTAGTTTCACCTTCACCGTAACAGCATCTGGGTGTTCTGTTTAAACTGGCAGCACCCATGGTGAGTAGCTCGCTGCGGAGAGGAGCACATTTACATCAGTGCAGAACACAAAACAAATCTGTGGCATTCAAAAGATGAGGAAATGGGAGTGAGGGTCCTCCGGGCTGCAGCCATCTTAATTGTCTAAACTGAAAGGTGAGCAAATGAAAGCCAGCTCTGTGTGCCCCTGTGTCAGCCTACATGTGCAGAGCAGCTGCAGAAGTGTTTACGCTAAAGATGTATCCAACTATCTGGAAGTCAGTTACAGGAATGGCTCTGTGCAGAAATCCCAGTGTTTGCTAGCATACGGCTGTTCTTCCAGCTGCACAGGAGTGTAGTGTAGAAACAGGAGGGATGTCCACTGGCCAGTAACCCTTCACCGCAAGCATCCAGGACATCCCAAGCGCCAGGCACTGCTGCCAAGGGGAGTACCACGAGGGCACACAGGATTCCTGAGACAGATCCCAAAGCCTGTCAGAAGTCAGAATTCAACTGAAGCATCAGCTACTCAACGAGTTTGTTACATCTGAATGGGTCAGCTTAATTCAATGTCAGATGGCTCAGGATAGCCTCTGCTGGCAGCTGGAAGAGCCATTTGTTCAAACAACTCAAATCACTATTGTTTCATAATGAGGGGGGGGGGGGGGAAAAATAAAAAAGGGATCCTTCATTCAGTTATACTGGATGGGGCCCCAGAGGCTGGTGGAGATCTGGGAAGCCCTGACAGCTCCTGCAGCAGGAGATGCAGTGTTCTGTCTTGTAGTCTTCACTCTGAGTAATGCATGATCGACTCCACATAGTTCCCTGGGAAGAGCCCCGTCACTCCATTCATGACTCCCTCATACCAGCCGTCGTCATTTTTCTTGATGACATAAATGATGGCACCTTCCTGAAAGGAGAGCTCATCGTCTTTGTCCTTTGTGTAGTCATAGATCGCCACCACTAGGAAAGAACAGAGCATGACTGTTAGGAGAGGTACAGGGAGGAGGTGGAAAAATCAACCTACCTTGTACAAAGATCTCCATATTCAAGGCAATCTCAGAGAACTGCACTGCCTCACCTCTGTGTGTGCAAAATGACCGGCTGAGAGGGGCGGTTTCTTCCAATCCCTTTTATAAGAGCTCATGCTTTGAAGCACATGAGCCAGGACTACTTTAACTCTTCTATTCTTACTACTTCCAGACCCATCAGAGGAAAAGTTTAAAAACATATGATAAACTTTTGGTGTGGAATGATGCAAGGAGGTGGATGTAACTCCCCATGGCTATGACCACTCAGACCTACTCCAAGATTCATGTATTAGATATATGTGTTAAACCAGATCTGTGCACAACTAAAAAAAAAACACGGAAGAGGGAGAGTAGTAAGAGTCTCTTCAGATCACAGTAAGACTGAGCCAAGGCTAATGTCCCAGACTCCATCTGCTTTAGCTACCTCCACATTTAAATCTGTAAAACACATATGTGCAATCCCAGTAGCTAGAAGTCACTCCCAGGGTATACAGCGCCAAGGTGAGGCAATCCCAGATAGAAGCTAGGAAGAAGTAAGGTGGTTCTCTGAAACAAAATGTACACCTACTATATCACAACATTTTTCTTACAGCTGCAGAATATTTTACTGAAGGCACAAAAGCTGTTAGGAAAGTCAAAGAAATTGGACAAAGCACTGGCAAATATTAAAGACAGCATTCTCCTCAAATGGCAGAAAATAGACATCAACTTGATATGTTTTTCTATTCTCAGTTCTATCATTTTGTGTTCCATGCAGAAAATTAGCTGTCGGACTCTGAATACTTTAAGAAATAGCATCAGTCACTGCCTTCAGCACTTGGCAATGAAACATGCAGTGCTGCCATTGAAACAAAATGGATGTTGGACAAGAATCCTAAAATCTTGCACCAAGGATAGAAGGGAAGATACTCTAAATCAAAGCAAGGAGAAAAAATTAACAGCATGTGTTCCTGAGCACAGCGTCCAAAAGTCCCACTAAACTCATCATCCTTTTCAAAAGAAAAGAGGTCATTTCCTTTTGAGAGAGCAAAGGAATCAATACAAGTATTTACTAGGGAAACCCGGATCCTGAAGAGATTATAAGCCTGGTTGTTTTTACTTCACCATTGCTTCCTCCTGCATGTTACTTTTGTACTGGCAGCGTTGCTCTCTCTAAAAGACTGTTTAATCCTGCTGTCTGTAGTCCCACCCATTCAAGCTGTGAGCTTGTCACATACCACGAGTTAGCAGGAGCCCAGGCCAGTATTGCAAAAAAGGCTCCAGATGATCCAGGAAGCAGCAATACTGACTCAGGAGGTGGCATCCTTCCCTGCGAGACTGAGCCAGGACCTCTTTTAGTTTCTGTCTGAACATGTTTCAACACAGATATGAAAACCAGAATTACTCATTTAGGTTGATATTCTTCCAATCAGTGATCTTTGGTTCTGCAACAATTTCACAGAGTTTGGCTGAACTCTGTTACATCAAACACCACAAATGCAGGCCAGACTGATTATCCAACTGAAATCTGATAGCTGTGACCACACACTTTCTCTGTGTGGTATGAGGACAATTTTTCCTTCTGGATACCCATTTCTGTTCATCTGATTTGCAAAGTTAGGACATTTTCTTACCTCTTCATGTCATGCACCCTGACACACAGCTCAATGGAAAACTGCAGTATGTTTTCCTGGATGCTGCTGGCTGGCTGTTGCTATTACAGCCATCTGGTAGCGTCCTCAAGTTCAACATCCCTAGTAACTGTTTCCTATCTAAGAGTTTCTCCATCTGTTCAAAATGGATCTGCTATTCACCTCCTTCCTCAGCTGCAGGTTACAGCATGGCTTGATGTTAAATATATGCCCCATACTGCATTACCCCTTTACAGAATAGGATCATACTGAATCCCACCTCAATATATAGCAACCCTCTGTATTTGACACCTCCTTGGTGTCCCAGCTTCTACATTCTCACTTTTGCAAAGGTTATCTACACTAATCCTGTTAGAAATGCTTTCATATGAACCTAAGTGAACAGTCATACCAAAAGAACAAGCACAAATCCTAGGAGCTGCTACTCTACTTATTGAGGGTAATAGTGTTTGAACAGTCATTTCCTTCCACCAGTTCTCACTGCTTGGAATCATGTGGCACAGAATACTACTTATAGGAACTTAAGGAGTTGCCATAGGAATAATTATTTTGCAGAAGACAAAGCATTATCAGTTTACAGCAGGATAAGCATACACATTCTTTCAATACAAAAGCCCTCTTTTAGCATGGGGCTTTTCATTAACTTTAAAGCTTGTTTGCTAGCCAAAAAATAAATAAATAAATCACAGCCAAGCACCTCTCAACTCCAGCAATGCAGTCAAATTGCAAGACATGGGCTGAATATAAGCTATTCATATTACTACAACATAAGCCACACCTATGTCAATATCTCATTTTTTCTGGTATCCTAAAACTACTATTTAACAGTTCTTAATACATTGTAAGCACTTTAATTTTTTATTATTTTTATGAGTGTTTCTAAGAACAGACCAACCTTTTAGATGTTTTAGTCATCTAGTTTTCAAAACACAGATCAAAATTGTGTTTTTGCATGGTATTCTACATCAATATGAGAGAATGCTTGGTTTCCTATACTTTTGCTTTTCTGCACGAAAAACGTTCTGACTAAAAACCTGACTTCCTCCAGCTTATCTTTAAAGACTTGCAGTACAGTTTTGCTATCCCATGGGATTTTCCCTGTAAATATCAAACTACAAGTGCCTCAGAAAAGGAGATCAGAACAATATGCTATAATTCAAATATTATTTCTTCAAAGAGAAAATTCTTTTCCCTGGCCAGGTACGTATGTGTACACGTACGCACACACACACCCCCCCCCCAC